TAGATTAAGATTTTAATTACAAAATGATCGATTTCCCAAACATATATATGCTAGGCATGTTATTATACGTAATATAAGGCTTCAATTTAATGTAAACTTCAACCACAAACGCTTCACAAAACGGTCTAAAATGTTCTTAAAACTAAACTGCCTTTTATCGCTAAATATTGAGTTTGAAAATTGAAATAAACTGATTTCAAATTCTTGCATGCATGAAAATAACTTTGCTTTCCTCTTTAATTAAATATTTTAATACTGTACCAAAAAAGGCAACTGAACGTATGCTCAGAGATATTTTTCGCGAAACACATGTTTGGTAAGGCTGGAAGCAATTTTTATTTAGTCTTACCGTAGCCCAGTTTTTTTTTACTTAGCAGCAGAATTCTCCAATTTTAAGCGGACAAAACGCAAATGAAGGATTTAAATTTCTTTTCCTAACTGTAAGCTAAACGAAAGCAGTGAAATGCCAAAAATGCATGTCGATAACAATTCAAAAAAGTTGGTGTTAGCTGATTTTGTCAATTAGCATTGGTAGTCTAGACTGGTGTTCAATGATGTTTTGCGTCATCTTGTTTTGGCGGGAAAAACATGCACTTAAAGGTGATGTAATGTCCGTTCTGCGCAGGCCTACATTCCAATGGTCTGGACCCGACCATTGGAGTTTTGTTAATATGTCAACACCTTCCGAACTTTCTTGAATTCATGAATCTCTAGTCTGTATTAATTTACAAGCATATAGCGAACCAGAAGACTGTTAAAAATTCAGTTTAATATACATCTAATCATATTTTACAACGTAGCACTGAGCTCAAAATGTAAACAAAGCGTTCGTCGCGAATTCCTTTCTACCATCTTCATGTAGAAATTTAAGTATAAAGGACGGCTGAATGCTGGCAAAAAAATATGCAGAAAAAAAGCAACAGAAAAATTTTAATAAATTATCATTACAGTGGTAATCATGTCATGACGAGTCCAATTAAGGATAGACGGTGCAAGTAATTTTTTTGCACGAAAAAAATTGGAATTTCACTCATGCACACATGCCATTCAAATCGCACTGTATTTGTCATTTTCTTAATAAAAGCATTAGTTTTGGATATCCAATTGGGAAACGAAATGGGAAAAATTCAAATCCTTTTCAACCGTCATTTAATTTAAATTTTTTTTGCTCAAATTGTTTTGAGGGCTGATCTACTAATGATCCTGATCTATTAATTGTACGGGAGTGTCCATTTGATGAAATAATGCTCTCTAATATATGTGGGAGGCTTTTAAAACTTCACTTATATAGTCCAGTAGTTATGTGTTCGACACGAAATGAACTACATAGGAAATAATGCAAAAAATATACTTTGAAAGAATAACATATGCATACTTATGCATGTTGAAACAGATTCGAAATTGGCCATAATGTATTAATGCAATTCACTTTCACTTTTTAAACAATACTGATGCATGCTAGTCATGCAGCTAGTGCACGTTTCATATTGGAAATCCCAGTTTATATAATTAATTTGGATGCAATTATTCTTGCTTCAAAATATTAGTAACGCAAATTTGCATAAATACAGCATAATGATAGTTTTTTTGTGTATACTAGGTGTATAAAAAAAGTTAACCCAACTTTGGCATGTTATCGTGAATCAGTATATATAGCGTTTAACCATTTACTTTTTTCATACAAATAATAAAAGATCAGGCTTTTAGCTGTCGAATAATACGTTTCGTGTATCAATGCGTGTAGTTGGTTTTCTATGTGACAAAAATCAATGTTAATTGATATAGCTTTGATTTTTCTCGGCTTATTAGTCATTTTAAAACTATTTCGCCAATGTACTCATGTTTTACATCTGATAAACAGGGCCGTTGTGGGTCCCGTGTTTTAGGGGAGGGGGTAGGGGGATAGGGGGGCAAGAGTAGCATTTTTCCGGCAAACACAATTTTTTCCGACATAAATAAAATATGAAATCATATAGAATTAAATATCAACTATGCTTGACGTATATTGGAAAAACGTAAACTGAGTCCCATTTCAAATATTTCATCCATATATTTTTTATTCAAACATGTTTCCCATTGTCAAACAACGAAGAGAAGTTAAATGCCTGCTGGTATATGCTGGTATGCCTGACCACGATGATTCCGACAACCTAACAAATTTCCAATTTTCCGAAGCGTCTCAACAATATAGGGGAGGGGGCATGCTTCCCCCCTCGTCCTTGGCGCCACTGCTGATAAAGCACTCACACGCGTCCTGAAAGTAGTACATGACATTTGTAAAGAAATCGGTGGCAAATACAATGCTCTTATTTCATATAAATTCATGTTATTCAACTTATTCGTACAATATTTAACCTATACTTATTCGCTGAAGGCGAGGTGATTATCAGGGACTATTCGCCGAGACGTACGAAGTTGAGGTGAATATTCTCCGATAATCACTAAGCGTGAGACAAATAAATGTTTTAGTATTTTTACACAAGTCTTTTGTGTTTTTTTTGGGACTGAATTTATTTTAATTTCGCCTATATCCATGTCTTTATCCGCAGTAACTTCCACTGCAAAACGGTTAGCCGTCATTTTGAAGTCTAATTCGGTTTTGTTATATTCAATTGTAGGCGAATATTACAGCTTAATACATCAAATTTGACCAATCAACTTGTAGGATTTGTTATATTCACTTGTGCAAAAATACTAAAATAAATATAATAACATATCTTGTATGATATAATATTGTTAAGTATCTTGTATGATATAATATTGTTAAGTTTTATAGTTAAATTTTAAGTTATTAGTTGAATACTTAGATATTAGTTATTAGTTTGTAATGCGCATGTCCGATGTCTCGCGTACGAAAATGTAAGTAACTTTATTTTCTGCTGTTGCCGTTTGCGGTTGCCAAACTTTCTATTGAAGCATTCTGCGTCGGCCGGGGATAAATTTATAACATGTTTAAATTATAAAAGGATATACACTTGCTAGTTTGCTTTAATTAACAAGGAAGAAAAAGTATATGCTAGCACGCAATTATTTAATACGGTAAATGAACTGTTAATTAGTGAAACACAGATGTTTGAACAGTTCAATATCTCGACGTGCATATATTTAATGCATACTGTAGACCAGGGGCCGGTTGTTGAACGGTGTGTTAGCGCTAATTAACCCTCGGTTAAAATTTAACCTGCTGTTTTAGTTTATGTCATGCACGTCTGGGGTTAAGCTAACCCAGTTTTGAACAATGGGCCCAGGTATACATTGACTGCTTTACTTTTCTATGCCATTTGTAAACCATGCAGAACTAGAGTTACGTCATGCATAAATATTATTATGAATAAAGTATTTAAGACAAATTTGGTTTCCTAATCTCTCTTTCTTGTCTCTTCAGTTTCTGTGAACTGACATTTCATGCCGGTTAGGGGCCAATCAAAGCATAAGTCGATCTGAAATCGATTCAGAGCCGTCATTGGTACGAGTGTAGACAACATGCATAAACGAGCTGCAACCGATTCAAGATGGACCACAAATTATTCACCGTTCTTGTCTTGCATGAAATCTTACACACGTCGTTGACACGACCGCGTCGTAGTCGTAGAGCCTAAACTCTCTAATTTCTTGTTTAGAACCCCGCTTATTAATCGTATAGTACATTGGTTAATCCATTCACGTTTTTGTGCCAAGTGTGGACACTCCATAACACTCCATATAAGACGTCCAAATCCCCACTTACCCGCCTCGGATCACTTAGTGCCTGCAGTGATCGCTTTAATTTAGATCCATCTCAGAGTGGGCTTACGGCTCCTTACAATTGCTGAGCAAGCACAGCTTTATGAATTATGGTTTTTCGTCAGAGCAAATAATAATTATGTAAGCGGTACCGTAAATAGTTTGGTACGGGTAAAGATCCAGCGTGTGAGCTTTAACTGGGCAAGAACTTCAGCCAATTCCGCCAAAAGAAGATGACGGAATTATAGGCAATTTTTTAAATTCACGAATCTCGCATCAAGAATAAGGGCTGCATATGCTCTCTTTTATAGTAGCAAAGTCGAAACTTTAGCCTATATAGGAGCAAATTTTTACACATTTTGAATATTGGCAAACAGTTCCGACACAACTTTATACATCCCCTTGCTTTCACAAGCTCAGATATTTAACAATTATTGGATGAGGTTTTTGTGATATGCGGCCGAATTATCAAGGTCGAGGTACATAAGCGTTATCAGCCGTATATTTATTATACATTTGTTTGTGTTAAATGGATACCATATATATATATATATATATATATATATATATATATATATATATATATATATATATATATATATATATATATATATATATATGTTACATTAAGCCGTTTTATCGAGTTTGATGCTTGGTATCGCTAGAATGTATCCAACGTTACAGCGGTTTACCCTATGGCTATGTCTAATGTACATAAGCGCTGCACTTGCTAACAAGAATAGTAATAAATGCGGCAAAGGGCAATATAAGAGCGATTTCCTGAGTGGCGGTTGTGCTCAATGTCCCAGGATATTACGGAAATGTGAAAGTCAAGAAATCGATGATGCTCGTCGTTGTTTTATCGCCTGTGGTAAGTACACTTAACTTTGAATAGCGTTAAGCCTAGGTCGCATTGTTACAGACATTTCAAGCTCTAGATTAACAAAATAAAAGTTTAATTGATGAGCGCTTAATAACCCATTGAGTGGCGGACCTCTCCCCTTGATGCTGAGTAAAATCGTCTGGCGTTAGACAGTAAAATAATCTGGCGTTAAAGACAGAGTAAAAAACCTGGCTTAAACAGAGTAAAATAATAAAGCAGGGTGCAGGGGCAGATAGTCTGTTTAACCCATTCAGTGGCAGCACTCTCCCACTAACGAGTAAAATCGTCTGGCGTTAGACAGAGTAAAATAATCAAGTAGGGCACATCTCGGTGCATTGCACTTAAAGTGTTAATTAATAAACTACATTTCAGCTTAAATAAAATCCATGACAGTGTTAGGAAAAAGCATTAAGAACAGCTTGCCAATTGGTAGGCTGTGACTGCCCATCATTATTTGATCCAGGCTTTAGTAAAGTAATACTGACATAAATTATTCTGAAAGTTTCAACAGACCTAAATATTGCTTGCAAGCTGACGAAAACGTTGAACAGTTCACCAAAATTTTAATTTCTCGAAATTTATGTTACCTTATTTCACAAGCCTTAAAATATGTGTCGGAATTTTGTGCAGTGCATGGTTCGCATTTTTCTTGCCAAAACTAATAAGATGCATGCCTGGCACAGTAATAGCTATACATTGTATTGGAATTACGTATTTAGTATATAAATAGTCAAAATCAATGCTTAGGTTTCCATATGTAGCAAATGGTATAAATAATTACGATATTTTGATTAAGTTTGTCAATTGACTGTTCGTATGTACTAATTAGGAACGGTGTAGATGATCAGAACTGGCATATTAAGCTTCACACTTTTCTCAATAATATTTTTAAGACTCAAATAAACAGTTAACATAATTATTCATACAGAGAACATGCTGATGCAACTATGTCAAAAATTGCATAGTAAAAATTGCAACTGTCATTGAAATATTTCTCCGTACATATCCTGTAGTTGTTGACGGCTTTGTTTTCATTTGAAAGTACGAAATAGGATACGCTCATGATACGAAAAGAAACGTTTATGAAATTACTTTGGCAAAATTGCTACAACATTGCATATGAGCTTTCCTATCAGCGTTTTTTTTTTTACATTCCGTAATTACACAGATTGATTAATATGGTAATTTGAACTCATATAGGCTAATTATATGAGAAGATATCGAATTTGGGCATGGTAATTCGACAAAAACATGGTAATGTTTTGTGGACAACATTTATCGCGTGCGAAAACTCACTCGTTATTCACCTATATATCGTTATTCACAAAATTTACCGCGTGCGAAAACTCAAATCGTTATTCACCTATAATATAATATCTTCTGAATGGGAGTCCGATATATTAAAATTAAGGGGAATCCCCTCTGCTATCTGCTGCTAGTGACCCTGACTACGTGTCACATTCCACTGACGGGCATGTATATCTTGATAATTAAGCATCTTCTAGCTTCCTACCCTGTCAGTAAATCATCTATTACCGTACATCAACTGCGTTATGTCTCAGGCTGTGTTTTTTTCAAATTAAGGCGCCGTTTTTAAAGTTTTTAGAAGACTTATAAAGAAGCTGTGCAAATGAGCACGTCTGGAATTTTCTTTACATAATAAAATTCCGCCCACTGCATGTACGCCCACAGTAACAGTGATACTTTGCTTTTAAATGTCTGCTTAATTATCAACCACAAGAATGAACTGGTAAATACAAGTTGCAATTCAAATACATCGAAACACGTTATTCACTTCATGAGAATTGTCATATGGTTAGAAAGAATCCAACTTCAGGAAATATGTCGCAATTCGCAGAGTTTTAACCTTTGGCCTATATACGTCACTACAATTTCCGGTTTTGGCGACTTTAGGGATTTAATAATTGCCACCGATCATAATTCTCGTCTCAAATGGTTTAATAACTCTCTGGGGAAGCAGGCAACTGGTGGTTTATATAACGACCGAACATTACGCATGATGCAGGCAAATTGGTTTAGGGACATTTTTGGTATCAGAGAGTGGTATTTATTAATATTGTTATGGAATTTTATCAATCCAAACGCTTCATGTCCAACAGGCACATTTAAAAGCTATTTTCTGAGCGGGGGATGCGCGTTGTGCCCACAGAAGTTGAAATATTGTGGAAATGAAGAACTTGAAGACTCTGTACGATGTTTCAAAGCTTGCCGTAAGTTACATGGCGTTGTATTCGTGTAAACTGACGCAATTTTTACTTTTCTACAGTATCATATATTCATATCTACCGGCGTCATTTTTGTAATAACTATTTCCCCCTGACTAACGTCTAATATTCGTGCCAACTGACAAGTACCAAACTAAGGGATACTGACCTTATACTTGAATCCATTCTATACCAATGATTATGTAATTTAAACGTTGTTACATATATAGGATTGTGAAACACTCATGTTGCCATGGTCGGTGTCTGTTACATAGAAGGAATTGCAGTTTGAAATTTGGAGTCTCAAATTCCATTTATGATATATTAACTAAATGCTCAAAATACTTTTAGTTTTAATATATATATATATATATATATATATATATATATATATATATATATATATATATATATATATATATATATATATATATATATATATATATATATATATATATATATATATATATATATATATATATGTTATATATATATATATATATATATATATATATATATATATATATATATATATATATATATATATATATATATATATATATATATATATATATACAGTATTTCTTATCAAATACGGCACTGTCATGGTTTCCGTAAGTAAGTGTATTGCCATGGTTGGTGTAAAGCCATAGATGCCAAGCTGTGGCTGGTGCTGTCGAACGTTTTCTGGCTTCACTTGGCCATTTTGACTCCGACAGAATCAAATACCTCATTTTGAAGTTATCGCACAAAGGGAAGCTAATTTTAATTTAATTAATGAATTTGTGTCGGTGTTAATACTTGTACTCCTCTGGATTTATAGCCATACCAAAACGTTTGTTTAGAATGATCATGTGATATTTGAGGGAATAAACGATTGTTTATTTCATTTTGTATCAGATGAATAACTCTTCTACGTCAATCACTGCATGAATGTCGCAAATTATGATATCAGCTATAAGTACTGCGTGGGTGCTCATTAATGACCACGCACACAGTACTTGTAACAAGTGTGGCTCTTATACGGGGCGTGATAACAAGGCGTGCGTGGGGGTGCCCGCGTGGGGGTGCAAATGATATTGTTGATAAACATGGAATGTTCCAGTATTTTTGTTTTATTCTAAAGGACTAAGCTCTTGCAATTGACTTAATGAAATTCGACAACTACCAAAAATGCAACATGTAACGCCAGAGAATACATCGCAGGTTACTCCAATTACGGCGAATCTTTAATTAAATAATTGCATTACCATTAATTAACGAACAATCTATAGACAGTATAACAAACTTACAAATCCATTGACATCAGAGAACCAACAACATCTTAAAACACTAACCGTGGTCGTGGACCTTTCCTTTTACATTTAACATACAGATCATCTGTAACAGATCTCCTGCATATACGGGAATCATCATAATTGCATGCGTTACATAGCGCGTTCTTATAATAACCCTTTAGTCTTGATTTAGAGTGCAGAAGATGCAGTCCCACAGGCGTATTGGCCGGGGTGGGGGGCGGGGGGGGGGACAGGTCGGCAATTGAGGTCGGAGAATTAAGGTCGGGCAATTGAGCAGAAATCCACAGACAGAGCAGAAATCCATTCAAAACATATAACTCTTATCAAAGTTGATCAGACGAACCGCGGTCTACAATGAATAATTAAATATGATAACGCCAATATATATTAATTGCCTTTATAATATACTTTGTCATATATGAAGTATACCTCTCATGGCAAAGATTATGAAGATTGCAGAAACATTGAACATTGTTCTTAGTTTTTGTCTTAGTGTTTCTATACATTTCGGTTGAACTTCTGCTAAAGCATCCTTTACACAATCATACCCATTTGTGTATAAAACCAGATACAAAATCCAGGTCCTTTTTAAACATACAAGCTGGGTGCCCCACCAGTCCCCCCCCCCAGGAAAAGTCCCTTTTCCCTAAATTTATACAAACCGAACCAGCGAAGAATAACAAATAGATCAACGGAAAGTAATTTTTAGGCTAAGCTTTATCCTCTGTCCTTGTTTAACAAAATCGATTTTAATTGTTACGTTTTTCCACCACTAAGTAATGATAAATTATTGTTAATAATCTATTTTTTGTGCGTTTTTTCCTTCTTTTATTTTAAATACAAGTATAGTTAGCATACATTTTAGAGAAGAATGCTCAGAATGCAGGAAATAGCATTTCCGGGCTTCAAATTCCAAATATTTTCTCGGGGACCATGTCCCCACGCACGTGGCCTTCGGCCATTGCTATTCCCATCTAATAAGTAATGATAAATTATGGTTAATATTTTTTTAAACTTTTTGTGCGTTTTTCCTTCTTTTATTTCAAACTGAAAATATAGTTACCATAAATTTCAGTGCAAATTTGGATGTTCAGAATGCAGAAAATGACAGTTTCAAATTTCAAACTTTTTCTGGGGGAGTGGTATGTCGATCACATGGCTAGCCCCCACTAATAAATTATCTCACAGAAAGGTTCCTTTTCAAAAAAGGCCCCACCACCCCACGGGAAAATCCTTAAAAGAGGCGCAGACAAAATCCGAATGCCCCAAACAAGTTTAAGCCCGTACGCCGATGTGCAGTCCAATATCTCCATGACGAAAGTCACAACAGAACATGTCTTGTTCAATGTCTCTTAATAAATGCATCTCCATGAATAATATAGATTCCAATATTGTGAAGCTATTTCATGTTGGAGCCACAGAAATGATCCGATGGCAGTAAATGACATTTACTTATGAAGTACATATTACCACAACTGCATTAACGAATCATTTCAAAACTGGTAATGATTATGTAATCTGCAAATTATTGGGATTTGGATCCCAAATTGACATACATTTTGCGAACAAGGGGGCTCAGTTCGTTTAGCCACCATCCCTTATATTCTCTGTCGCTTATACACCACATAGCTCAGCATAAAATTTGACAGGGATACAAATAGCAAATATTTCATGTAGCTTGATATAATTATTTTCAAACAAAGTTGTGGACACTCATTTTACATTGTGATGGTAATCAGTAATAATTGTCTTGAAAATCTTCATGAGTGTTTGGAATGAAATTTAATTAAAGCAACAGTATTTTCATGACAAATAATATATTTTATAAAGCTTTTAGGTTTTCGCTTGGATTGTCGATGCCTCAATTTAGGATCAATCTGTCAATATAATTATACGTATAGAACCGCCCGAAAGCCTGAAATTATTCAAAGCGAAAGAATCAAAAGATAGTTTGTGTACTGTAACGACAGTAAGAAAAAGCTTTTTACGAAACTTCAATGTTTTAATTAAGTAACTAAATTTGACATAGACACCAGGATTAATGACCGGAAAGAATGGTACTGTGCCGTCTGCGCGGTACCAACTCATCAGTCATTCTTTAATTTCCTCTCATTAATGCTGATGCCTTCTGTTCCTTTGAATTGTATTCTGCTAAATTGCCGGATGAAAATGATGCATTCTGGAAAAAGCTTTTTCTTCTAATTATTTTTCTGTGAGTTGCGTTCTTGGGGATTTATCCCAATAATAGCTTTTGGCTCCAGAAACTTTAAATTTCGTAAACGTTTTTCCATCTTGGAGTAATCCGAAAATACTCCGCTAAGGTTTCATAGCAAGTCATTTACAACATAATAGTTTTACACAAAAAAACTGCAAATCGACTAGATTTGAGACGAATAATAATTTTTGAAAATTATCGTTATAGTTTTACTAAGAAATAAATGCATTCTCTTTTATATTGTTCCGTTGAAATGAAATACGATCTTTTAAGAAAAACTAACAAAAATATGCAACTTGAAATAATTTATTAAAAATATAATTTTCATTCTTCATGTACTTTCCTCAAATATCCTTAAATTCGGGAAACTGTTTCAAGCTACAATATTTTACCGTTTTATTTGTTCTTTATAAAAATGTGTAGATTCAAATATTTCCAAAGCCAAATATATTCGCTGCCTCTATGGAGGAAGCGATTGGAATAGTTTATATTTTTATGGTTTTGATATGTTTTGTTTTACAAATTTTCCATTAATTTAACACCAAGAAAGGTGTCATTGGTAAAAATTGTTTAACTGAGCTCGAGTGTTGGTGTTCCTTTTTAGGGCGAATTTTGTCGACCCAAACCGCATCCTTGGACACAACACATGCAACACCCGAATTAAGAAAATCATCGACCTCCCCAACTCGTACTACAACACAAGCACCTGAAATCAGAAAAACAGCGACTACCAAAGGTGTTTCCAACACACTTTCAAGTGGCCCACACTATGTTATAATCAAAGATGTACTGACTATCTCAACGTCAAGCAATTTTTCAGATAAGCAATCCGGTTACAATAATTGGACAGATATTAAATTTGGGATAGCAGTAACAGTACTTGCACTTCTTTTGGTAATTGGTATTTGCTTTGTATTATGGTGGAAAGGGAGGAGTAATAGTAGGAATAATGAACAACGAAATTCAGTTTACTATGGGCCTGTTTGTCCAGACTCAAGATCTAACAGGTAAGTCAAATATATATTTTGAATATTCGTAGGAGTACGGTAAAAAAATTAGGGTGGCGGGTCTTTTCCACCTTATTGCCTTCTAAATTTCCCTTTAACTTAATCTGCTTTACGTCTACAATTTGTGCAACCTAAGTTGAAAATTTGCCTCTCCACGCCCTTATCGACTTTTCTTTTTTTTGGCCGGCAGATGTTCCCTTCCTGCCCCCAAAAGATGCTAAATTTACTGAAATACATCAACTTCCATTTGTCATCCTTGTTCATGCCTCCCTGATTGATTTGGCCCCTTCCATGGCTTGAGCCGGGCGACGCCCTAACGAGTTACGCCATTGCTCACGTGTAAGGATTTTTCCGTATACTGTCGAGTTACGGAATTTTCAGTCGTCTACAACAAAGAAACGCGAGTTTGGAATCAAAATTAATGACTTTAAGTGTTTTTAATATAAATAAACAAAACTACATACGGTAACAAGCTGGTCAATTGCCAAAAGCCGCAATATTCCCGGACTGTGAAGATTTACCTAATTGCTGATAATTGTCATGCAATTAACCGACTCTGGAGCTTATTGCAAATATTATTTACAGAAACTCTAAAATATATATGTACTCTTTGGATATTCACCCATGCCTATTTTTGCGAGCACTCCTCCCGAACAGACACCGTTCTGAGTTCTTTACTTCCACTTACGCAATTATAAACAAAGGTTCTTCTCATATTTAGTGACCAAAATATCAACGGTGAAACTTCAGAGAATACAGGCGAAGCAGACGACGTTGAAGACATCGGAAGCTCATTTGGCATGCGCATGTCGTCGGCGGTGTCTCATGAAGATTTTGAAAATATGCCAGAGGCACACGTATAGTTGCTGGAAATCTGACTGTAGATGAACTGATTTAATCTGGCGAAATAACAAAAAAGTTGCATGTTTATCTTTTATATACCAATGGGCTCTATAAATATCTGGAGCAAGAACAACAGTCATTTGGCTTATGAGAAAAATGAAGCCAATTAAGCTAGGTGGTGAAAAAATCTTTATATAATAACTGCAGTGAAACACGCGATTTGATTAGTCAATAGCCGTGCAGGATCAGGCTATCCTGCGCGAGGAATTAAAATGCCTTCGCGGGATTTTCGCGGGATTCTCAAAATGTTATTGTTTCACTGTAGTTATTTTATAAAATAATTACCAAGCAGGATAGCGTGATCCATTCACTTTGGGATGTTGCTGGACTTTCGGTAAGCGTAAAAATACACTCGCCTGCGGCTCGAGTATTTTGACACATTCCAAAAGTCTCGCGACATCCCTCGTGCATGGATCAGGCAATCCTGCACGGAAAACCATTCGGTATTCCTTTAATGAACATCGTAAACAATTTTCGTTTTTGCCCAGCTAATTCTAGTCCTTTTCCCTGACGGATTATATCTACAATCAAGTTATCACTTCACAAAACCGAAATATTATTCTTTAAAGTTTAAGTCGAAGTCAAAATATGAAATTTCGACACACTACTTGTTACTTCGAGAACCGCGAAGTCAAAAACAGCAGAAAGCGACTGAAACTGGCGTCCAATAACTCCATCTTAGCTTCTTTTTTTTGGAATAGTGAGTTCTCATTTCAGGTATATATAGAGCACATGTACAGATACCTACATAAGTACAGCTATTTCAATTAGGCTAAGGTCTGCCCCCGAGCAGAGCGGAAAAGTCGAATACGAGCGCGAAAGGCTGCTGAAAATCGCTAATAAATGAATAAATTTATTAGCGATTCCCAGCAGCCTTTCGCGCTCGTATTCGACATTTCCGCTTTGCTCGGTGGACAACCTTAATTGAAATAGCTGTATACGTATGCGGGTTTTAGAAAACCACAGAAAATTAAATCTATACAGGGTGTATAAAAAAAGGTGCACAGATCTAAAATGTCCACTAATTTAAAAATTCTGCAACCTTTATGACAACTCTATACTAGTATAATTAGTTTGGGGTCTTCTGGTATATCTATGACAAAATTATTTTCAAAAGTAAATTTTAAAGAGCCCTGACTTTTCTGAAAACCCCTTAAGAAATGGATTGCGCACAAAAATGTAAGCTAGGTTTAAAACGCATGCAATTTGAATTCTGTTGGTGCAAATCTAGAAGGGGTTTTATGAACCTTCAAAGTACTAGACACTTTGATGCACATTAATTCCAATGCGCGACACTTGAAACTGAATATGTACTTTTCAGAATAATTTAACGATAGAGAGACCGACCTATAGTCACACTACCCATACTGACATAAAGTTGTCACAAATTTTGCTGAATTTTCATTTTATGCAGTGACGTTTCAGATCAGTGCACTATTTTTATATACCCTGTATATTGACATAGATGCCATAAATTGCGGAGCAGGAATCTTCGCCAGAAAGGCAAAAGAAACTACTAACAAAATAAAACTTGAAACAATAAATTAGTTTAAAGATAAATGTATAAGCCCAGCATATGACTTTCAAACAAGACAAAACAATCAATAATAAAATCTATTTACTGACGTTTCGTTGCATAACATGACCACATCTTTAGAGCATTAAAATCTATTTACAAGAGTATGAATTACAAAGCATTATGCTTGGCTTTTTATATTTATTTTTAAATTGCGCGTTGCGCTTGGTGCGTCGATTGCTACCATTCATTGTATACTTTTTATATTTATTTTTAAATTGCGCTTTGCGCCTGGTATGTCAATCAGTACTGTTCAAAATTTATTTATATGGAACATTTATTAAAAATGTAATATATAATTTTAAATTATGCTTTGCGCCTGGTGCGTCGATCGCTACTATTCATTGTATATAAAAAACAATAGTTTAGTTTTATTAAAATAACACAAAATAAGTTGTTATTTTCTAGTTTTACAAAAGCAAGTTTGGAAACAGGATCTATTACTCTTGCTCATATTCCATTTATTTGGATATTTGAATAAAATAATGTGAAATAATAATTGAAACTTGTCCAAAATTTGATACCAACACTCAAGTGAACAGATACTATCACCTATAAAAATGATGGCAATATATGACAACATCCAAATGTTAGCATCTTCATGCAGTGTCCAAAAAAGTGCCGCACGCGCGCATTTTTTGTGGTCGCATAACTGGCATTGCCACAAAACCAGGTGAAAAAGCAATTAGAAAAACTTGGTCTTGGGTTACGAGCGTAGTCAAATTCTTGATAAACAGATTTTCCAGATAAACAGATTCAACATTGTAATAAGCCCCATTCAGGACCTCATAGAATCCAAAATATTCTGTTAAGGCATAAATTCAAGGAACAAGGCATAAATAACCTAACTATTGATGAAAAGAATGACATTCGGGAACGTATTTCTTCTGTAATTAAGAGTGCCAAATTCCCGCCCAACCGAAACCTTTCTCGGCAAGAAGAAAAGCGTTAAAAGATTTGCGAAATGATAAAGAAATCATGATTACAAAAGCTGTGTAAGTTGCAGTATTTCCCTAATAAAAACGTCAATGAAACGCACGATATATTCCGGTAGGATAAACAATCCAAATTGTCCAAATGGATATATAATATTTATTGATACAGAGTCGAAATATATAATTTTACTGTGACACCGTGTCAACGTGGTTTCTATACACAATAAATTTACAAAACATAGATATTTAAGTATACAAATGCGATTACAAACAATGAAACAACACAAGACAAATACCTGCATGACTGTTAGTCCTTCTGGCTATACTATACAACACTACAATGTTCAAACAACTTTAGACCAAACAAATCAACGCGAGTTCGTCTCTAGATCTCGAATATAAAAACAAAACATGTGTCCATCTCTGCCCTATCGCGGGTTAACCCCTAAATTCTGGCTAGACCTAGCTAGATCCTACAAGCTGATAAGGGTATAATGCCGTAGTAGTTATGAATCGGACAGATTATCAAAACCATGTAGGGGAAATGCTAAAGGAGAAAAACACTTATAAGCGTATCACGGACAAAAGATGCAATCCAACATCAAAAACTGAGACAGATCTGCAACAAACTTTATTAAAATTAAATGACACGGGATATTTAAAAGAAAACGAGTATATTAAGTTAAAACCTTTCGACTCCTATCCTGCGGCTTTATACTGTTTACCCAAAATACATAAAGTTCCTTTGGCTGAGCAAGATGAACATTTCAAAATAGAAGCGGGCACTGACATTCCTTTTAGACCAATTAATAGCTCAATCGGATCTCCTACGTACAGTATAGGAAGTATCTAAGTATTTGGCGCGTATATTAAAGCATCTATATAATGAGAACTATACAGTAAAAAAAATCGAAGGAATTTCCGAATTTGCAACTTTTGTCACCAACCAGAAAATTAATCCGGACGAACAGCTTGTATCGTTTGACGTAACCTCCTTGTTCATGTCAATTAAATTCCCATTGATTTGGCTCTGCAAATCGTAAAAGAAGAGCTTGCAAACACAAATCTTTGAACACAACACACAAATTTACCGCAGAACAGATTTACAACTTATTAAAGTTCATATACTAAACAATAGCTATTTCATGTTTGACGACTGTCACTACCATCAAATATTTCGATGTCCTATGGGTTCGCCACTGACCGCAATTATTGCGGAACTAGTTATCCAGAGAATCGAGAAAGTCGTACTAGAAACATCGCCCGTTTCGGTAAGGTGGTGCAAAAGGTATGAGGACGAATCTAATGCCTGCTTAAAACAACCGGACGTTCCGCTATTCCATCAACATCTGAACTCCATTAACCCTCATATCCAGTACGTAGTTACGATTGAAATGCCTTTTGTGAATGGAGACGGAGGTCAAACAATAGCATGTTCAGATACAAACTTACTCAGTACCGCATATGGTAACACTGCTGTGAAAGAATTTCGAAAAAGTACACACACTGATAAATATTTGGGGTTTGATTCTCACAGCCATGGGCGTACCGGAAGGAAAAAATTAGGGGAGCGGAAACAAATTGCCCAACTTTTCGGGATTTTGCCCGACTAGTACCGAAAAAATTTTTCCCGGAAAAAATTGTTTCAGCGACCTCCCCCCCCCCCGTCGCCAAAAAAATTTCGGTCAGTGTACCATTTTAGGGGTCAAAAATTTTTTCCGGACATACCAAAATTTTTCGAAACATCACTAAAATTTGCCAAAGAACACAAAATTGTACTGAATTTCCAAAAAAAATACTGAATTTCGGAAAAAATTGACAGAATTTGTCCCATTTATTTTTATTACAAACCAAAATTGCCCGACTGTTGATCGAATATCGCCCGACTGCCCAAAAAACTGGGGGGGGGGTTACCGTCCAACCCCACCCCACCCCCGCCTCCCCCGCCAGGTACGCCTATGCTCACAGCCATGTTAATGATAAAAAAGGTGTGATAAAAACGTTGCTGGATCGAGCAAAGACTATTCCACCTAACTCGACTTTAGAGGCCGAAGAGACTGATAATGTTTCGCAGCGCCGGGAACCTTGCCCTGAGCGCCAGGAACCTTGTCCTCAGCGCCAGGGACCTTGTCTTCAAGGCCAGGAACTTTGTTCTCAGCGTAAGGAACCTTGTCCTCAGCCCCAGGAACCTTGCACTCAGCGCCAGGAACCTTGTCCTCAGCGCCAGGGACCTCGTACTCAGCGCCAGGAACTTTGCCCTCTGCGCTAGGAACCTTGTTCTCACCGCCAGGAACCTTGTCCTCAGCACCAGCAACTTTGTCCTCACGGCCAGGAACCTTGTCCTCAGCGCCAGGAACATAGTCCTCAGCGCCGGGAACCTTGTCCTGAGGGCCAGCGACCTTGTCCTCAGCGCCAGGAGCATTCTCCTCAGCGCCACGAACCTTGTCCTCAGCACCAGGAACCTTGTCCTCAGCATCAGGAACCTTGTCCTCAACCCCAACAACCTTGCCCTCAGCGCCAGAAACCTTGTCCTAAGCGCCAGGAACCTTGTCCTCAGCGCCAGGAACCTTGTCCTCAGCGCCAGGAACCTTGTTCTCACGGCCAGGAACCTTGTCCTCAGCGCCAGGGACCTTGTCCACAGCGTCAGGAACCTTGTCCTCAGCGTCAGGAACCTAGTCCTCAGCCACAGGAACCTAGTCCTCAGCGTCAGGAACCTTGTCCTCACCGTCAGGAACCTTGTCCTCAGCCACAGGAACCTTGTCCTCACCGCCAGGAACCTTGTCCTCAGCACTAGGAAATTTGTCCTCACGGCCAGGAACCTTATCCTCTGCGCCAGGAACATTATCCTCAGCGCCGGGAACCTTGCCCTGAACGCCAGGAACTTTATCCTGAGCGCCAGCAACCTTGTCCTCAGCGCAAGGAACTTTGTCCTCAGCGCCAGGAACCTTGTCCTCAGCGTCAGGTACCTTATCCTCAGCCGCAGGAACCTTGTCCTCAGCACCAGGAACCTTGTCCTCATCGTCATCAGCGCCAGAAACCTTGCCCTCAGCGCCAGGAACCTTGCACTCAGCGCCAGGAACCTTGTCCACACCGCCAGGAACCTTGTTCTCAGCGCCAGCAACCTTGTCCTCAGCGCCGGGAACCTTGTATTCAAGACAAGTAACCTTGTCCTCAGCGCCAGAAACCTTGTCCTCAGCGCCACGAACCTTGTCCTCAGCGCCAGGAACCTTGTCCTCAGCATCAGGAAGCTTGTCCTCAACCCAAACAACCTTGCCCTCAGCGCCGGAAACCTTCTCCTAAGCGCCAGGAATCTTGTCCTCAGCGCCTGGAACCTTGTTCTGACGGCCACGAACCTTGTCCTCAGCGCCAGGGACCTTGTCCTCAGCGTCAGGAACCTTGTCCTCAGCGTCAGGAACCTTGTCCTCAGCGCCAGGAACCTTGTCGTCAGCAGCAGGAACTTTGACCTCACGGCCAGGAACCTTGCCCTCAGCGCCAGGAACATTGTCCTCAGCGCCGGCAACCTTGTTCTCAGGGCCAGGGACCTTGTCCTCAGCGCCAGGAGCCTTCTCCTCAGCGCCACGAACCTTGTCCTCAGCGCCAGGAACCTTGTCCTCTGCATCAGGAACCTTGTCCTCAACCCCAGCAACCTTGCCCTCAGCGCCAGGAACCTTGTCCTCAGCGCCGGGAACCTTGTTCCGACGGCCAGGAACCTGGTCCTCAGCGCCAGGAACCTTGTCCTCAGCGCCAGGAACCTTGTCCTCAGCGTCAGCAACCTTGCCCTCAGTGCCAGGAACCTTGTCCTCACCGCCAGCAACCTTGTCCTCAGAGCCAGGAACCTTGTCCTCAGCTCCAGAAACCTTGTCCTCATCGGCGGGAACCTTGTCCTGAGCGGCAGGAACCTTGTCCTCAGCGCCAGGAACCTACCGCCAGGAAGT